GGAAGAATGACCCGCGGTGCCGGCTGACCTCGTGGCGTCGCAGGCCTGACCGCCATACCAACCGCTTCCAAGCACCCCAGCAGCACAACCTCTTAGGGCGTTCCAACTCGGCGCCCCCTAAGGGACCTCCCACTCATATCCGGTTTCCGGTTCGAAGCCCCCTGCTCATTCGCCAGGCAGCCTTGATTGGCGTGACCCCAGCCCAATGGCTGACCCAGCGCTGGGGGTCGAAGGGGAGCGAGTTGACTGTTGGGACCCAGTTGGCACCCAGTTGGCACCTTGAGTGAGTGTTCAAGTGGTTGAGCCATTGCGCGTGGGTGTAGTTGGCCGAAGTTTGGACCAAAGTTCAGTGTTGGCATCTGGAAGTGTGTAGACCCCCCTGAGCCGAGATGATACCTCTGTCGGGGGACCCAAACGTTACCCAGGGTTGGGCTCTGTCCGTGCTCCTCCGCGCAGCGCGGCCCTGCCGGACGGCAGACGAGGGGGCGATGCGCGCTGTGGCGGGGGTCTTCTCACTCTGAAAGGGAAGCGTTCGATGCAATGAGATTGAATTGTGAGTGGTTCGCCCGCCCGCGGCGCGTCGATACAGAGATCCAGGCGGCGCGCCTCCCTCGCCGCAACGCACCCTGTGTTACTCTCATTCCATCCGCTCCACATGTGATCCACATGTCCCCTGGCCACCTACAGGTGACTCGCAAGCCCGTGTCACCCGCTGGCAACACAGACCTGATGCCCGTGTCCCGGATTTTACGTGATCCGCAAGCAGCAATTTTTTCCCCCCTGGTTCTAATCTGACTGTAGACCCCGGAGCCGGGGCAGTACACATGCGCGGAGCCCACCCAGGTGGTGTGCGTCTTTATCCCTCCGGCTCGGAGCCCACCGCGCGCCACCGAGACGCGAGCGCAGTCCACCGCCGCGGGGTTTATGACCAGGCTTATTGCCGCCTCTGCGGGCTCTAGCAGTTGGGAAATAAAGCGGCTACCTGCAGATACCCATAGCAAGAGGAGAGGGGTTGGAAAGGGGACGGGAGAGGGGCTGGAAGGGGGCTGGAGGGGAGCCAGGGGAGGGAGCTGTGATGCTGCGGCGGCGCCCGAGGCAGGAAGTACCACATCGCGGCCGCTGTTAGTCGGCACAGCAGGGCTCGGCTTGGCGCGGCATGATGTGTGCCTTTGGGCTCAGTGCGCACAGGGTTGACCAGTCTCTGAAAGCACCCTAAATCAGCCATAAATCCCAACTGAAATCCCCTTTAACCCTTCCCCAGAACAGTAGGACCCCCGGAAGTCTGAGGCCTGCACTCTGTGGGGTCCCCATGCTCATCCTGCATCCCCGCCGCCACCCCCCGCCCTCCCAGCCGTGCCGCCGCAGTTACCGCTTGCAGCGGTCGCCAACCTTTCGGACCTCACGGACCACCGGTTGGCGACCACTGCTCCAAAGGTTTCCTGAAACCAGCGGTCGCCAACCTTTCGGAGCTCGCGGGCCACCAGTGGTCTGCGGACCACCGGTTGGGGCGACCGCTGGAGAGGGTCTCCGTGGTTCATACCCGAGACCCTCTTATTCCCTGAATCATTTGTCCACATAAACGCGGAACAACCCGGCCCGCGCGGCCCTCAGCGCCTGCGGAGACCCTCGGAGCGCGGTGGGGATGGGGGCCATGTCAGTGATTTACATGAGCCAGCCTCGGCAAGTCGGCAAACGAAAGCTGCAGCGGCGATGGAAAGTGCCCCAAGACATTTTAAAAACAAATTGTGTGCACAAACTCAGCATCCCCTCGCCCCTCGCCTCCTGTCCTCCCCATCGGTGGGCTCACGACCACCTGTCGCATCCTCGTGCGCGCACTCGCCCCCGTCCTAAAGCCTTGTGCGCCGGATTTGGGGCCCAGGATGGAAGGCTGCTCAGAGCTGGGGGCTGCGACTCTTGGGCTCAGGAGTATTTTGGGGTTACGAAACCTTCATGCAGTTCCCCCCTCCCTCCAAGGAGCGTCAGCGGCGCCTGGGAGGGAGGGTTTCAGTTCCTGCGCTCCAGCATCCCGGGCCCACGTCTTGCGTCACGTGTCCCACACGCAGGAGAGCTCTCTCTCTGGCCAGGGGAGCAGAGAGGAGATAGACTCCAAATCAGTCGGGGAGAGGAGTGGAAGAACCAAACCATCCCTGCGAGGCCTGCGCCCGTCGCCCCCTTACCCCAGGCCGGGGCTCCCGGCGACAGAAGCCGGCTCCTGCAGCCGCCCGGGCTCCGGCCGGCGTCCTCTGGTGGCGGAGAGAGAGCACTACGTGCGACTTTCGGACCGAATCGACACGCTCCTCAGATCCAAACAGGCGGGGCTGGCCTGCAGAATGCAGAGAGACAGAGACAGAGACTGAGGAGGGGGACCAGGGCAGGTCAGGAGGGGGGCAGGGGCAGCCTGAGGACATGAAAAGAGGCCAGGAAGGAGCTAAGACTCCACCAGCAACCATAGAGTTGCTTCTACCATAGTCTAGGATATGAGGGCCTGAACCCTGGCACCAGCAGGGGTTGGAAAGTGAGGTTGAAGAACTGTCTGGCTGGTAATTTGATTTTTTTTATTTTGGAAATATTTTTTTCACCCTAGTTTGGTTGGGTGCTCCGTCGTACGGGGCCCCAAATTTATTTTAAGAGGCCGCCACCGTGTTATGGGCATGCGCAACTGCCTCTACGGCAATAATATGTCAGGACAACGCGATATCCCCCTTGAGCCCGAGGAACAGCCCGAGCAACCATCTCTGGAGGCCTCAGGGGCAGCTGCCCCCAGTGCTGGGCCTGGCGCAGCCGAAGAAATGGAGGCCCAATCGCCTCCCAGGGAGCCCATCCCCATCGAGACTGAAGGCGAGGCCTGTGGACCTCCAGAGGCCTCCAGACCCAACGTCCAGAGTGAGGCAGTCCAGGAAGCCGGAGCCCATGGAGGCTACAGCCCACCTCCAGAGGAGGCCATGCCCTTCGAGGTCAAGCAGCCCAGCGTGGGAGGCTTCTGGCCGGCCCTGGAGCAGCCTGGAGACGCCAGGGGGGCCCTTAGCCCAGTGCTGGTGCAGCCCGGAGCCCGCAGGGAGGCCAGACCAGACCTGGGCAGCTACAGCCCTCCGCCCGAAGAGGCCATGCCCTTCGAGAGCGAGCAGCCTGCCCAGGGAGCGTGCAGCCAGCCTCTTCTGCAGATCTCCGCGCTCGCGCCAGGAGGCCCGGCCGTGGGGGTCTTTAGCGCCCCCTCAGAGGAGCCCCAAGTCCGCAGACCTGCCTACGCAGGCTGCGGAGGAAACTGCAGCCCTCCCCCTGAGGAGGCGATGCCATTTGCGTTTGATGGAGCAGCCTTGGGGGACGACAGCCCACCCCCTGGGCTCCCCCGAGCTACCCTACAAATCCACGACGGTGGCGGCGGCCACTTCGCGGCAGTCGCGGAGCCGCGTGCGATCCTCCTCGCTCCCGCCGCGAACGAGCCCC